CTTGGAATGGATTTTTAAAAGGAAGGAGGTTCAATTGTACGTCCCCCTCTGCTTGATGGTTCAAATTATTTATATTGGAAGGCCCGGATGAAGACTTTCATCAAGGCTCATGATGAGAAAGCCTGGCGTGCTGTTTTGAATGGCTAGAAACATCCAGTAACAAAAGATGCAGAAGGAAAAGAGACTCTCAAACCCGAAGAGTCATGGAGCACTGATGAAGACAGGTTGTCCAACTACAACTCACGTGCACTCAATGCAATATTCAATGGAGTTGATGTTAATCAGTTCAAGATGATATCAACATGTGAATCGGTAAAAGAAGCATAGGAGATTCTGGAGGTGGCTCATGAAGGAACATCCGCAGTCAAACAATCAAAATTGAATATGCTCACAACTAGGTTTGAAACTCTTCGAATGCATGAAACTGAAACTATTTATGAATTTAATTCACAGTTTTGTGATATAGCTAATGAATCTTTTGCTCTTGGTGAAAAAATTTCCGAGGCAAAACTTGTCAGCAAGACGTTGAGATCATTACCACAGAGATCTGCCTACAAAGTCACTGCCATTGAAGAGGCGAAAAACACTGAAACTATGAGGCTGGATGAATTGATGGGATCATTGAGGACATTTGAAATGAATCTGAGTCGAAATAAGAAGGAGACAGAGATTTCTCAGGAGATTGCTTTCCAAGCCGAAGTGGAAGATAATGTTGAAGAAGAAGATGAAGACTTAACGGAGTCTCTCACTCGATTGACTAAAAATTTTAACAGGGTGATGAAGAAGTTCAACGAGAAGAACCAAACTCCAACGTTCAACAACTCCAACAATTTTTAGAAAAATAAGAGAGCTACAAATTCCTCCAATGATAAGAAGAAGAATAGGAGAATTCAATGCCGGGAGTGCGAGGGTTATGGTCACATTCAGTCTAAGTGTGCTAACACTCTCAAAAAGAGGAAGAAGTCTCTCAACGTCACATGGAGTGATGAGGATTCTGAAGGCAACCAGGAAGATGATGATCATGTGAACAACTATGTTGCGTTCAATGTCTACCAAGATGTTCCAAACTGCAGTGTTACAGATCGTGTCACAGCTCATGTTGCAACATCATCTGTAACATCATATGCAACACACTCTGGAAAACCAGATGAAAACGGAGATTTTTCAGATTCTGACGGTTCCAGCAATGGTGAAGAACTAACTGAGGAGACAATCCAGGAGGCATATGAAACCATGTTCAACAAATGGGTTTTGGTGGTTAAAATGAATAAGTCTTTGCGGGAGCGAGTCGATGAGCTTATTAAAGAGAATGATGTACTTAAGAGGGCTGCTATAAACTATGAATTTTGGGCTGTTGAAAAGGAGAAAAAGCTGCAGGAGACAAGAGGTGAATTGGAGTGCACTCAAAAGTGATTGAAGATGATGAATTCGGGCACCTCAAAATTGGATCACATTCTCTCAATAGGAAAAGCAAATGGTGATCGACATGGCCTTGGCTATATTGGTGAGAGCTCAACGTCTAAAATAGTGTTTGTGAAGAAGACGCCTGCCCCTAAGCCTCCGACTTCCTCCAGTAAGAAGGTTACTATCTCATCCCCTCGACATAGAAGGTTTGTCCCTACATGTCATTACTACGGTATACCTGGCCACATAAGACCGAGATGCTACAAGTATTTAAATGCTTTGAAGAGAGGTATGCTCATTAATCCACCAAATTCCGCACACTCAAAAAGGACACCTAACGTGAAGCTTAATGTGAAAAATAATTTGTCTAGATGTGTGTGGGTAAGAAAATCTGATTTGAGGTGTCATAAGGCTTATACTTCTTTAGAAGCATGTACTAATGATTATGGATGTAGTGACGGTGGTTGCACTAAGACAGGTGTTAAGAACATTATACATGAAAGAATGCTACATTCAGGGGGAGTAAGACACAAAGAAGATTCAAGGAGAGTAAGCTACAGAGATCAATGCCCTCGAAGATATCTAGTGCGCAGTGTTGCACCGAGTGTTCCAACATGATCTGCGACATCAGCGGCTGAAGACGATTCTAGGGTGTGAATTTTTTTATTTTTTATTTTTTTTCGTTGTGTCTTTGGCTTATTTTTGTCAAAAAGGGGGAGAACAATATAATTTTTTACGTTTTTGAATTTTTTAGGATCTCGTTAGTTTTGCCAAAAAATGCCAAAGGGGGAGATTTTAAGTATTTTTATTAGTTGGCAATCTTGTAAAAATTCAAAAATAGGTTCAAGAAGATTTCGTATTACAAAAAGAATATTCAGAATCAGATTTGAAGTTAAAGTTGCAGATTTTGTTAAGTTGAGATTTGAAGAAATAAGGATAAAGACTTGGTCAAATGAAGATAAGACATTGGTTGATATTTAGAGAGATAAAGATAAGGCCTTTGTCAAAAGAAGATAACGCAGATTGATATTTGAATTCAAAGGCATATTCGGATTTAATTTCTAGTAGCATAATCTGATTGCTATTTATAAGGATAAGAGCTAAAGTAAACTTCGAGATATATATATAATATATATATATATATATGTGGATGGTTTTTTTGGATGGGCTTTGACGTGGAGCAAACATATTAAAGTGGGTTTTGAAATTCAAAATGCAAATGTCAAAAAGGTGATAATCAGATTTGGTGCAAATGCCAAAAAGGTGATAATTAGATTTAGATAAGGTGGATTCAAAAGGAGATTTAGTTTTCAGTTTGAATTAAAAAAAAAAAAAAGATGTTCAACGTGGAGATAATAGGCAGGAAGCTTTATTTAAGGTTTCATGGTAGTTAATAATGCTGTAAGGTTTAATAGAATATTTTCAGAAAAATTATGTGAGTTTTGGTGAGCCTAGTGCGCTATTGAGATCGTCCTTCGGGAGATGGATTTGTTGCTTTCGGGAGGAAGCTCTGTCGGTCGAAGGGAGTTCACCGTGCAGTTTAGAAGACGTGTGGTGCACGCTAAATAAATCACTGTGGAGATTCGTCACAGCGGCGTCGTTGTCTAGGAGGGAGTCCTTGAGCGAATAAGTCCGTTCGGTGTCTGTAATTTCTGGAACATAGTGAACTGTTTATTGTCTGGGTGTGGCCCTGCAGAGTAGGTGTGCGCACCAAACTGCGATATCATATTGTGTGTTCCTTTACTTTCTGCACTCTATTTTACTCGAACAACTGAACGTAATTAACTCAGATCTAACACTTTTTCTTAAAGTTTTGAATTATCTCACTACTAAAATTTCAAATCAAAAGATAATTTTCTTGCATGCATGATTTTATTGCTTAATTTAGATGAATTGAATAGACATTTACAATCTATGGGGGAAAGTTTGAGCAAGTTCTCTATATGTGAATATATTTATTTTTTATAGGAACGGACATCCTCAAATATCAAGAAAAAATAGTTGCATCCCTTATGAATATATTTATTTATATATGGAAGCATCTTATTATTTGAGTTCCGATTCATTGAAGATAATCTCAGAAACTCCGGTACTAGTGATGTTATGCCTTATAAATAGAGTGTCTGCACGATCACATAACGCTATGCATTTTTTTTCCCTGTGGTGGCATAAATTGAATTAAAATGTGTTATATGCAATAAGGAACCAATTTATCAAGTTTTAACAATAAAAACAAAAAAAAATTAAAAAAAAACCCCTTATTTATGAAATTTTACTGCAAAAATTGGACCTTTTTATTTCTTTTTGGTTTCATTTCAAGACGAGCACAACTTAACCAAGTTGCAATATCAATTGCAGAAACAGTGGGCTTGAATAATGGACATTGCATACTGCACACTATGACATGGTTTTGTGTCGTTACATAGATTTGCAAATATGCGGGGTATGACAAAACTTGTATCTTGACGTTTGTATGGTAGAGATACGGGTGTTCTCTGGTATGTTTGTAGTGAATAATGCAAAAGGAGACTAGTAGTGTTTAACACCACACACTAATAAATTGTGGGTTCACCCTCTATTAGTTGTGTGCTCAACACCAATTGTGCCTCTAAGGTTTTTTCGTTTGTGATTAATATTACCCTAAATGAAAGCTCGAAAAAGCAATGTCTAGTCAGTGGACCTTGAGTCCAAATTTGTTCTCTCTTTTTTTTCCCCTTTTTTTAGAAATTTTTTAAAAATACCCCTTGAAATAGAGCACTTTTTTATTTCTATCACTTAACATTAGCTCATATATTTTTACCTTTTAGATTAGTGTGATCAAGGGGGTAGAGTTTTCTAAAAAAATGTACTTTTAATAAGTCAGGTACTGAAAGAGGTAGAATCTGTAATTTTCTCCTCTTTTTTTTTATATGCAACTTTGACTCCAAGTCGTTAGTAACGAACGCTGAGACATGTGCTATATGGAAAGATGATATGAAATCCAATGCCTGGCTAGTACTCTATTTGTTAGAAAGGCCATGAGTAGGATATCAGTATCACAGTGATAATTTTTTTCTTATAGCAACTTTTAAGTTAATAAAATTTCAATGCAGTACTATCAATCTTTCCAATATAATATTGTGCTATCAGTCATTTTGTTAATGGCTTTAAGTTGAACTCAAAATTGGGCAATTACTTGGAGATGCATAGCTACTAATTGACTATATTTTCTCTTGTAAACTTCAAAATAAACTTCTGCTTCTCATATATATGCTGACAACTCTGAAGTACAGCTTGAAATCAGTAACTTTCATTTCTAATTTTCCCTTATACGGCCTTAGCACCATACAATTTTTCTTCTTTCATGGGGCCCTTGAGAAATTACTGGTGGTTGACCTCTTGACCCGGATATTTCCATTTTGCTGCAATTTGTAAGGAAGTTTCCAACTTGATCAGTGGCTTATAAAAACCAGTAGAAAATTTCCAGTTCTAAATCTCATTGCATCAAAATTTAAAATCTGTAACTAGTGAAAGATTATTAAATGAGTTCATCTCACTTCTATTGCAACTAGCATATGGTTTCTCTTTGGTTCCTTTGACTATAATTTCTCTTTAAAATGGATGCGAGATTGGAGGTAGCTGCCAAAGCAGGAGATATTGAGGCCTTGTATTCATTGCTTAAGGAGGATTCGTATCTTTTGGAGCGTATCGACGCGGTACCTTTTATTGATACTCCTTTACATATAGCTGCATCTGCAGGGCATGTCTATTTCGCTTTGGAGATCATGAGGTTAAAGCCATCATACGCTGCTACGAAGCTAAATCAAGACGGTTTTAGTCCCATTCATCTGGCTTTGCAAAATGGGAAGAGCCAGATGGTTCTTAGGCTTGTAGAAATGAATAGAGGCCTTGTCCAGGTCCAAGGAAGAGAAGGTAAAACTCGTTTACATTTTTCAGTTGAGTATGACATGGTTGATGTCCTAGCTAAATTTTTGTCAGTTTGCCCAAAAGCTATTCAAATTTTGACAATTCGTAAAGAAACTGCTCTGCATATTGCTGTGAAGAATGACAACCTGGAAGCCGTCAAACTACTTCTGGGCTGGCTTGACCATGTTGATAAGGATGTTGTATTGAAGTTGGCTGATGATGAAGGGAACACCGTATTACACATGGCAACATCCAAGAATCAAATTGAGGTGAGTTCACTTTTGAAGCCAGAATTATTATATTCATTCACCCTTTTTATCTCTTTTTATGTTATCCTAATAATATCGCGTCACATCAATTAAAATGTATTAGTTGACATTGCATGGTATCTTAATTGTGATGACATTTTAATTAACGTGGCATGACATTGATTGGAGGACAAGGAGACACGGGAGGCTAAATGCCTTTTTTTTGTTTTACCTATTTCCTTCCAAAACTTTTAAAGCTGTTTGCATTAAAACTGTGTGTTTGAGCTCATGCCCACATACCTTTTTGCAGATGGTGAGACTCTTCATCAATGGAGCTGATGTAAACGCCAAGAATTTGGTAGGTTTGACAGCTCTTGATGTCTTAGAAAATCAAAAGCAACTTGCCAATGAGAAGCTTCAACGCATGCTCCTTCGTGGCGGGGCACTGAAAGGGTCATCACTTCCTTCTATCCCTACCAATAAAGATGCCATGAAGACGAAGATGTCGTGGCACGAAAAGTTCTTAATATCTGATTTCCGGAAAAAGTTGTACATGTCAAATGACGAACGCAACACTATGCTAGTTGTTGCTGTTTTGTTTGCAACGGCCAACTACCAAGCTATTCTTAACAACCCTTACATGTATGAAGATCTTAGCTTCATGTTGTTCTCTTTTGTTAACCACGTAGCTTTTCTTGCTTCAATGTTTGAGATTTATCTCTACCTTCCCAAAGGTCGTATGGTTCTTCAATTGGTTGTGCTCATGGTTGTCTGTTTTGCTCTGCTCATGTCAACATGGAAGTTTCTGATGATCGAAATGGCTTTCTTGATCCTTGTCTACTACCCGAAGTTGCTGGTAGCTCTGCATAGATTTATTCCTATTACTATATCTAAGAAATCATTGGAAGTGAGGCATTCCATACTCAAATATTTTAGAAGCTTTCACGATGAATTTGAAGCTTGATCTTCTTTAGTGAGGCTTCAAATTGATGAGAAGATGTGATTTTTATTATTATTGTTTGGATTTTTAATCCTGTATTTTATTGAAATTTCTAATAAAAATAATGTTTAGATTTTGCATTATCATAAAACTTGGAGTTTTAATTAAAATCAAGATTAGGTCAGGGTCTCTGGGCTGCATGGATTGAATTTTCTTAATTGGGGTCTGTGATGATCATGTCTTGATTTACATGTTTGACTTGATATTATAATCCAGTGATGTCTCGTCAAGTGCTATTCAAGTTTAAACAATTCATATAAAAAAAAATCCCAAACAAAATTCTACAAAATAATAAAAAAAAAGGTCTTTGTACTGATAACCTTCCATCTTGCCTGCATCTGAACAATATAAATCTTGCCGGGAATAACTTTGAAGACGAAATACCAGAGAGCTATAAGGATTTTCATAGTCTCTCTCACTTCTCTCTTTCGAAGTCTAGCAACACTAAGCTTTCGTCCGCCCTTCGAATTCTACAGCATTGTAAGAACCTTACAACTGTAGTGTTCAGCTTGAACTTTCATGGCGAGGAATTGCCCGCGGATCCTAGTATTCGTTTCAAAATGCTGAAGATTCTGGTTATTGCCTATATTTGTGGGGTCAAAGGTTCACTACCTCAAATGGTTGAGTAAAAGCAAGCAGTTGCAGTTGTTGGATTTGCCATGGAATAACTTGGTTGGAACAATTCCAGCCCGGTTAGGACATTTCGATTCCCTCTTTTACTTGGACATATCGAACAACTCGTTGAATGGGGCGATCCCGGAAAGCATAACTGGATTAAAAGGTCTCATTGATAGGGACATCTCGTTGGAGGAACCTTTCCCGGATTTCCCATTTTTCATGCAAAGGAATGTTACCATAAGAGGGTTGCAGTATAATCGAAACCTTGTGCTTATTCGCAATCTGAAAAAGCTTCTTTGGACCTAAAATTCAACAATCTATCTGGACCGATCCCGAGTAGTTTTTCAGGGATGAGAAGCTAATAGGTAGTTTGGTATGAGGATTCGTGTCATGGTTCGAATCATGATTCGTGGCTCGTTACAGTATTTTCTCTCACAAAAAATGCACGTAAACCGAGAATGGTTCTGAATCATAGTTCTGAAACGTCCACTTAGAGACTTTGGATTTGTCTCGCAACACGCTTCCAGGATGGTGCCATCTTCTTTTGAAAAGCTCAGCTTTCTGTCCAAGTTTAATGTTGCATACAACAAGTTACATGGGGAGATCCCTTCAGGAGGCCAGTTTTCAACATTTCCAAACTCAAGCTTTGAAGGAAACGATTTGTGTGGTGATCAGGCTAAGCCTTGTTCAACAATTCATAACCGTCATACTGAGCCACACAATAAATCAATAAGAAAAACGGGCTTTAATGATGGAATGGCTTTTGGTTTTGTACTTGGTGTTGCATTGTTCCAAGCAACTTCAAGAAACTGTGGCCCCTTCAAGAAATTATGGATCCTTTTGAACCTTCCAACATGAAGCAATCACTTCTTAGCTCAAAAATATAGATCAATGATTTTGAGAATAAACGCAAAGAAATTGCACACCTTAGTATATTTTCATTTTGAATGGTGACCTTTTTTTATCATTCTATGATTTGCATATTTTTATAGTACTTTGAATTAGGCTGTCTGGTGAACGAATAATGTTTAATAAGATTTGCTTTTGTAAATAATGTACATGACCAACTGAATGCCTATGTGGTTAACATTCACACTCGGTATGATAATTCCGGTTTCTTAGAGTCTCTTTTTTACTATAAAAAAAGGTTAATAGCTATGTTAGTCCATGAGCTTTGAGAATAGTTTTTAAATTTGACATATTTAGTTCACAAACTTTTATTTTTTTGACAGTTTTAGCAATTGCCAATAAAAATGATAGATGGTTTTTAAAATTTAACAACGATAAACATGTGTTCATTGCGTGATAATTTCAAAATTACAACTATATTACAATAAAACTATTATTAAATAACATATTATATAATAATGATATAGAATATAATAATATTATTAACTTAATATAATTATAATATTATAAAACATAAATATTAGATCAGAAATAATCAGTTATAATATAATTAAAAATTACAACTATATTATATTATATTTATAATGTAATATAATATAATATATTATATTATATTTATAATGTAATATAATATAATATATTATATTATATTTATAATGTAATATAATATAATATATTATATTATATTTATAATGTAATATAATATAATATATTATATTATATTTATAATGTAATATAATATAATATATTATATTATATTTATAATGTAATATAATATAATATATTATATTATATTACGAGTCTGAATTTTAGATTGAGAAAATTGTAAATTTTAAATTTCATTAGGAGTATTATAAGTATTATGAAAGTTTCATTAATTGTACTATGTTAATTCCCGCACAATTTAAAAGTTAAAGTTGTCTTTAGGCTGTTTCTGATTTTGACTGTAGATTTTTCAAAAAAAATTCAAAAAATACTTTTGAGGAGATTTATCAAACACTAAAATCAACTTTTACCACAAGCAGAAGCTAATTTTGGAAGAAAAAACGATATCAAACTAAGCATGTCTTTTGGAAACAAGTTTTGACAAAAAATTCTTATATTCCAATCCAAAAAAAAAAAAAAGCTTCAAATAGAACAATCATACAAAAGGAAAAGGAAAAGAAGAAAAAGAAAACGTCTAGTTGGAAAGCAAATTCAACAAAAGCCACCGTGCCAGTTTTTTTTTTCTTTTTTTTTTATTTCAGAACTTTTTACCAAAATGAGTACTATAACACCACGTTTATTTAATCGATTCGAATTTTATTACAATAAAAAGCTCTAAAAAATAATCACATTTAATTTTTTATTATAGTAAAAAACTCTTACATAAAGTCATATATCAACTCGAATCAACGAACTAAACGGGCCCTAAATTTCTTAGCTAAATCACATCCAATTATATTAACATAAATAGTAGAAAATATGCCAATATGAAAAGCTTAAGAAAGTATATACGCCAACTTTTAGGTATATAAATTAATAGGCCATAACTTGTCAAGTTATGGTTCATAACCAGATAAGTTATGGACAAACTTGTCAAGTTATGGTTTATAGCCAGACAAGTTATGGACAAAAATCGTGAATAACTTAGGCCTCGTTCACTTCGCGGATTCGAGTTTTCAATTCGAGCTGAGATGTGACATTTTCTGATAGCTTTTTACTGTAACAGAAAAAGTTAGATGTAATATTTTCTGAGAGCTTTTTACTGTAGAAACCTAAAACTAAAAACTCGAATTGATGAAATGAACGAGGCATTATCAAGTTATGGTTCATAACCAGACAAGTTATAGACGAAAACAGTAATTTAGCCTATTTATTAACTTATGTAAACTATTGACCTATTAATTTTAATTCATCTCAAATCTTGACTTATTTCTCTCTTTCTCCCTTATATTAAAATAATAAACAACTATAAGGCAATGATATTTGATAGCTTAAAACTATTCTGTACTTTTTTTCTCTCTCTTTCTTTGAACTTTCCCAAGAACTTACCTTCATATTTTTCTTGAGAACAAAAGGTGCTCGCCTAGAAAAATTCATATCAAATTTTAAATACCAACTTATAGAATACTGTGAGCTAAATGCGAACATTTGGTATTGCATGGCCGGAAGATATCCACTAATTATTATCATTTGTAACTTTGGTGGAATACCTTTGAATAACTGAATTATTTTAATTTTATGAGAGTTTCTCTCGTAGACTTATCATATTAATATTGTTAATTTTTAATCATTAAATCATGTTAAATTTATATCACATTAAAAAGTATACAATTCTGACAATTTTTTATTTATAATTTATTTTTTATGATCCTAACCATCAGAATTAAACTAAAAACAAAAAGTACCAATCAACACTCTGAAGTTGGACTGGACCCACGATTATGAAATGGCAAATGGACTGGGCACGAGCGGCATTACATTAGTGGAATGCCCCCTAAAAAACAAAACAAATAGTCCCACGCAAAATCAACATTTTGAATGTGACAAATATTTATAATAGTCTTTTATCAGGGGAAATATATATATATTTTATAGTCAAACTTAAAAAAAATGAAAAAAAACAAATTATAGTCAAACGTATAAATGGACTGACAAGCACAAAACAAGTTGGTTCATAGTGACACCACCAATATCTGACCAAAAATAGGTGTCTTATCCACTCCGATAACAAATAACTTGATAGTCAAATTGGTTCATTTTACTCTACCAATTGGTGCGACTTTTGTACCCTAATGCAGAAAGCTACAGCTAGCTTAATGTCATATCATAAGACATTTAATGACATAAAAAATATGAAAGATGAGGAAGAACGGAGAAAGTGAAGGATTTTTACGTTTAGTTCGTTAATTTAAATTGATATGTAATTTTATTTAAAAATATTTTATTTTAATAAAAATTAAATGTGATTATTTTTAAAAAAATTTTACTATAATAAAATTTAAATTTTAAACTCGAATCCAGAGTAAACTTGTGATTGATTGTTTCATGCTTTCTCTCCGACAGTCATTCATTACAATTTTACAGAGTACTATTTGTATCTTCTTTTTTTTTTTCCAATTTAGTATCTTTGTATATTTTTCTTCAGCCGTCCTTTATTACTTGAATTTCAAGATTGCTATATGCTAAAAGTTTTTTTTTTTTTTTTTTTCAACATTTTCATCCACCATGGGCCACATAACAGGAGCCATAAGGGGGTATTCATTACGTCTTAACTCGTTTGATGAGGGGTCCACAACTGAATAAGGTTGGTTGTCACTTGTTTTTCGTATATAAAATATTGACAAACTAACACTTTCCGTTGTAAAACATAATTAATAAACTCGCCATGCAAATTAGTTTCTTTGAAATAACTTGTGGCTGAAGAAATCGAGCGCAGACCAAGAGGAAAAAGAAATAGAGATAATAGATGGATAAAAGTTTCAGCTGTTGGGATAAATTATTTATTACAAATATATAGTCACATGCCAGGTTGTAGATCCAATGAAATTTTCAACGTTGGGGTGCGTTTTTGAAAAGGTGTACACCAAGAAAATCTCCCTCAAATGAGGAGCACAGATGTCAAAAACCATTTGTTAAAAGTCAAGGTCATTCACTCATCATCCATAATGCATTCCTAACTAACAAATTCCATCCCTTTGAGTGCTCTGTCCACATACCTTTTTGCAGATGGTGAGACTCATATATACATACATACATATATATATATATGTATTAGATAACCAAGTACAAGCCGAATTCTTAGGTACAACGTTCATGAATTAAAGTCAGCTTGAAAGGGACTGATATAGAAGAAAACTGAATCAAGAATTTAAGGGAGATAGAAAACTCCGAGAGCTTCATGACTACTCAATAACAAAACAAAGCTCTTTCATAACTCGATACACGTTTCTTCTTTTTAAGCGTTTTATTCGAATTAATTGGCAGTATTGATTGTTAATCGGGGTTGTGTTTTCATGTGTTTTGAAATTGATGCTTGTATTTCATTAAATCGGAATATATATTTCTTTTTAAAAATTAAAAAATAAACAACAACAGTAATAATAATGATAATAACAATAATAATAATAAGAAAACAAAACCTTCTATAATAAGGATATAACTTATAATAGGTTCTTCTAAACGTTAAATTTGTTAAAGCCACATAAAAATAATCTGACAGCTCAAAACAGTACCAATATGTTATATTTCAAATATCTCTCATAAGAAAACTTATAAAATTTTCATAGATTGAGAAGAGATGCTTGGGCTTAGATATCTGGTTAGTTTATTTTCTTTAGTCATTGGTGATTGTTTCAAGATCTTTGAAGTTTGAAATCAATACGTTGGTTAAGAGTTGGGAAGTTCAGCATTATAGTCCACCATCGTGATTGTATTCCACTCTTTTCTTCCTTTTCCAATGAATTTTTCATTCAAGAATTTGCCAAGATAATTGGTATAGATTAATCTTGTATACATGAAAGTCCTTTCCAATTCCCACAGGCAATAAGCTGCCCAAGTACACAAAGACAAAAATCTAAGGACCTGTAACAAAAATTTAAGTTTATTTTTCATACTTTTGAGGGACAAGATTTATCTTCAAAATTCAAATTCAAATGTAAACACTTCTAATATCCGAAATAACAAGTTTTGTTACTTCGGTTTGATGTTTCTGTCTAGTACATTTATAGATAACAACAACCAACTCTAAGAACCTGATTATGTGGATAAATATTTACACAAGGATCTTAAGGCTGAGTACAAAAGGAGCCAATTTATTTCCAGTGAATCAAGTATGGAAGTGATATCTCTAGCTGTACAACAAGAAATTCTTCGCTTACATGGTAAAAGCTAGATGTCAATATCTATTCCATCGAGCCAAGAAACGAGCTGTTGAGTCGTCGGTCTCAATTTGGGAAATTCGCTTAAGCAAAGGCATGCTATCTCAAGGATCTGCAACAATTCCTTGTCATTATGCTTGTTGTAAATAAACGGGTCAAACACCTCGCTTTCCTTCTTTTCCTTCTTCATCTGAAACACCCATGAGATCAAATCCCGGCATCCTTTCGGTTTGCACATGTCCATTGGTCTCTTCCCAGTTAGAAGCTCCAAAAGAACAACACCAAAACTGTACACATCTCCTTTGTAAGTGGCAACAGAAGCTTGGCCGTACTCCGGAGGAATGTAGCCTAATGTCCCAACAAGATCGGTCGTTACATGAGTATCATAGGGGAGAATGAGCCTTGCAAGACCGAAATCTGCTAAATGGGCTTCAAAATTCTCATCTAAAAGAATGTTGCTCGACTTTATATCTCGATGAAGAATGTGGGGCTCGCACGACTGGTGCAAATAAGCAAGCCCTCTCGCGGCTCCTCGAGCAATTTGCAGCCTGGTCTCCCATTTGAGGAAGGCAGGGCCATCAACCCTTTCGTGTAGCCAGTAATCCAAGCTGCTGTTTTCCATGTATGAATATATCAAGAGCCTGTCATTCTTGTATATGCAATAACCTTGAAGTAGGACCAGATTAGGATGCTGAGCTCTCGAGAGGGTTTCCACTTCGGCACGAAACTCTCTCTCCATCTGTCCACAGTCACCAGAGAGCCGTTTGATGGCGACCTTCTTACCATCAGGGAGGGTGGCTCTGTAAACCAAACCAAAACCCCCACAGCCGATGATATTTGCTTGGTCGAAATTGTTGGTAGATTTAAGAAGGTCATCAACACAGAGCTCTTTTGTGTTCTCCTTGTTCTGGAACAAAACCACTAATCTGGACCCCAGTTGTTCCAAATCTTTGTCATTGGTGTAACCATCTTCTCTTTCCGGATCAATCTCTCGTGGTCTATGCTTCCTCAAAACAAATACGAACAAGAGGGAAAGAAATAATGCCGCACCAAATACAATTCCAATAGTAAGTCCAACTACAACGCCTCTTTTCTTCGTCGAATGACTGGATGGGTGACTAGGGAGGGACTGATTTGATGCACACGGCACAGCATGGTCACCACAGAGATTATTTCCTTCAAAGCTTGAATTCGGGAATGTCGCAAACTGACCTCCTGAAGGGATCTCCCCATGTAACTTATTGTATGCAACATTAAACTTGGACAGAAAGTTGAGTTTTACCAAGGAAGATGGTATCGTCCCCGAAAGCATGTTGTGCGACAGATCCAGAGTCTCTAAGCTGCTCATCCCCGACAAATTACTAGGGATCGATCCAGATAGGTTGTTGAGTTTTAGGTCCAAAACATGGAGCTTTTTCAGATTCCCAAACTCCGGCCAAATTGGTCCGCTTAAATTATTGCTACTCAGATCCAAGGTCGGTGGAAAGCTCTGGACTTGATTATACTGCAACCCTCTAGAGCTAACATTCCTCTTCATGAAAAATGGGAAATCTGGGGAAGGTTCCTCCAATGAAATCTCCCTGTCAATGAGACTTCGTAATCTAGTTATGTTTTCCGGGATCTCCCCAGTGAACGAATTGTTTGAAATGTCCAAGTAAAAGAGGGAATCAAAATCGCCTAACCAGGGTGGAACTTTTCCAACCAAGTTATTCCATGACAAATCCAACAACTGCAACCGTTTGCTTTTACTCAGCCATTGAGGTAGTGAACCTTTGAGCCTACAATTGGCAATTACCAGAATCCTCAGCTTTTCAAAATGAAAACTGGGATCCGAGGGCAATTCCTCGTCATGGAAGTTCAAGCTGAGCACCAGAGTAGTGAGGTTCTCACACTGCTGTAGAATTCTTAGGGCGGATGAAAGATTCGTGTTGCTAGAATTCGAAAGAGAGAAGTAAGAGAGGCTATGAAAATCCTTGTAGCTCTCTGGTATTTCACCTACGAGTTTATTCCGCGCAATATTTATATTGTTCAGATGCCGGCAAGATGGAAGTTTATAAGAAATCGAGCCATTAAACTTATTGGAGCCTAAATCAAGAGAGGTCAAATTAACCATTGCAGCACAATTTATATTTATTGGACCAACCAAGGAATTGTTTCTCACATTCAACAAACTAATACTGGGAGAATTGGTCAGCGACTCAGGTATACCACCGGTGAACTTATTAGAATGAGCAACAAAAGAATGTAACTTTCCTAGTTTGTGAAAAACATTAGGAATAGCCCCTGAAAACTCATTAGTGGAAATATCCAACCGAACAAGGTTAGTGAGATTACCAATTCCGTCGCTCAGCTGCCCAGAAAGCTTGTTATCCGGAATGATCAACTCCGAAATATTTCGAAGCCGGAATACGCCTTCAGATATCCTTGTGAGATTATTCATTCCCACACAAAGATGATTCAAAAAGGTACAATTTCCAAAACCCGAAGGAAGATCACCGGAGAAGAAATTCGCCGCCAACTTCAAAATCTTAAGCTCAGAACGACCACCATTACAGATATGATTCGGAAGAGAACCGTTCAAGTAGTTTTGAGACATGTCAAGGTATTGAATTGAAGACAAATTAACAGTATCGGGAACAGCACCGTAAAAGTCATTGAAGCTCAAGTCTAGAACCTGCAAATTGGACATGCTGAAGAGCGAAATGGGAATCGAGCTTTTGAGGTAGTTGTGGGAGAGATTCAGAGTTCTGAGCTGATTCAAAGACCCCAAAGATTCAGAAAGTTTTCCCGTAAGTTTCTTACTCCCGAGGTCCAACACCGACACTTTTCCTGTTTCATTCTCGCAAGTGATTCCTGGCCATTTACAGCAATTCGAAGATGGGTTTTTCTCTTCCCATCCATCAATGGAAGTTTGCAAGCCCGCCATGAAATCTCGCAGAGCTTTGAGATCATTTTGGTCGCAGGTCAGGTTTTGACACTGAATTCGGAGGCAAAATCCGAGAACAATGAGAAAAACCCAGAAATCTTGAATGCCCATATCGAATAATTAAACCCAGATGAGGAAGCGAAAGTGAGGAAATATTAATTAGGCAAGCATTTTTCTGCAAGGAAGTAAAAAAAGGAAACCAGGTTTATGAAACAACGAACGCTCTCAAAATGATGGGGTTTTTGTTTTTATGTGAACGACATGAGAAGAAAAAGAAGATGGATATCAAGGGAAAAAATGGAGAAAAGAAAAGAAAAGGAAAAGAAAAAGAAACGAAACGAAAAGAACGAAGAGGACGAACCTGTCAGAAAGGGAAATGTAGAGAGAGAGAGAGAGAGTGGAGAGAGAAATGAAAAGCTTTTGACTTTTACACGGTTTCTGGGTACAAATGAATGAATGAAACCAAACGAAGCAATGGTTTGGAATGGCTCCTCCTTCACTTGCAGGCGAGAGCTGTAGAGAGAGAGAGAGAGAGAGTGGTGAAGATGGAAGAAGAGGTGAGGAAAATGGGAGTTGATGAAGGGGTGACCGGGGAAAGTCTCACGTGATGACCGGCAATAGGCGGGGGTGGGTGGGGTTTTGGTAAAGTTTGATGAGAGAGAGAGAGAGATTGTAGAGAGAGAAAGAGTAGGCAGCATGGTGGGAATGAGAAGTCAAAGGGTGGGTGGCGAGTGGCGACACGTACACGGAGTCTACCTTTAATAAATTCAACTTTTTCGCTTTTGTTTTTTATTTCTTTTTTAGAAATTCGTAGTTGGATTATATGCAATTATGCATGAGGGAAAAAAAATATCCTCTAAGTAGGATTCAATATCTATTATCATTAAAATACATCAAAATTTTAAGAAATTAAACAATATATATTTCTAAAAGAATTAAACGTGTGTAACAAATTTAAAGAAATTTACCTTCAAAAAAAGATTTAAAGAAATTTAATCAAAATCTTAGAGGTTTAAATTTTGTTGCTCAGTAGTTTTTTTCCCTTATCATGTTAGAGAATTTATTTCTTAGGGCAACTTTTCTTTTTTTTAATTTTTAGGTACACAAGTGACTTTGTTATTGAAACTATATATGACAATGAAAAAAAAAGGATAAAAAAGAGTTTCTCTTTACTTTTTTTTAGAAGAGAAAGAAAAGAGAAAAAAAATATATATTCAATCCTTTTTTACAATTATACGTAGAGAGAGAGAGAGAGAGAGAGAGAGAGAGAGAGAGAGAGAGAGAGAGAGAGAGAGAGGGGTGTGATTAAGGTCAAATTGTTAAATGGTGCATTAATTTGTCAAATATTTTTCTCCTCTTTTCTTTCTGAAATGGAGGGATTTAAAAATAATGGGTCCCATGAATTTATAGTTTTTTTATTATTCTCTTTTTTAAAAAGGATATTTTTTCATACGCCAACGAATAAGTTTTTTATCCGTTAAATCTATATAAAATCATGTAAAAATTAAAAAAATACGCAAATCTAAATGTTAAAAAAACTTGACTTATCAATACGCCATGTGTACTAGGAGATTTCCCTTTTTAAAATGTTTTTAGTTTCCGTTTTACCAAACAACCGAACAACATAGGATTAATCTCTAGTTCTACAGTCCTAATCTCTTTTTTATGCATAATTTACTTCTAAATTAACTATAATTTTATGTTGGTCGTAGTGATAAATCAAGTATGATAATAGTACAAAAATGTCAAATTGAAAAATATTAAATATTACACTACGTTGTAATGACTTTGAAATCTGCACATTTAAATTAATAAAACTACTTGTCACAAAAAAAAAAGCTTCATAAAAAACATTAACATCACTAAAAATATAACACATCAATGTAATTATATGGTACAATGTACATTGAATGTCTTACTCGTAGAGGAAAAAAAAAAACACATACGTATTACCTAATTGTGAACAACATTAGGTTCCAAATAAATTATGATTCGGTTCATTTCACCGATTTAAATTTAAAATTTGAGTTTTATTACAGTAAAAAACTTTCAGAAACAGTCACATTTAACTTTTTACTACAGTAAAAAAATTTCACATAAAATTACATCTAAACTCGAATCAACGAACTAAACGGGTCCTATATAACCATAATAAGACACATTTTATTTATTTATAGGTTGTTTTGTCACGGAGACAATCACGGAGACATACCTCCATTTTTTTTTTCCTGAAAACATGCCTCGTATTTGACAATAATATCGCCTTTTTATTCATCAAAAGCATTTTTTAGAGTAATAAAAAAAATAGCATTACCCTGTTTGGCATTTTTATTTATTTATTCGCTATTTATATATTATTATTAGCTAGTTCTTTGTGCGACTTTTTTCAGTAAAAATAAATAAAATAAAATAGTGTTAGGTGTGGACTGCCTTCTTCTGATCCTGACTGAGCAGTTTGTCTTTGTTCAGTGCAAAATGGATTATCATTATAATATCATGTGGACCCCCCTGAATTTTGGATCAAACAAATGCTCCTTTTTTTTTCGACGTTACTCAATAACTACTAATGAATGACCAGTTCAAAACAATTGTCTAAAAATAAGAGACATCTTTTTTTTTTTTTTTGCTTGAAAGAGACTTCTTATTAAGGGTGCGTTCGGTTCATAGATTAGAACCATGTGATTAGAATCATTTTTAATTTATGTATATTTTTTATGAGAAAAAATATTGTAACGAATCACGAACTATGATTCGAATCAGAGAACAAATCCATCTACCAAACATCACTTAAGTTTTAACATTTCATTCTCCTTATATAAAAAAAAAAAAACCCCCTAAAAAACCTTTCAACCCCATAAAAAATATATTAACCTTCACTGACTATTATACTGTGAAAGTTATTGAAGAATTTTCCAGATCCTAATGATACATTATTGTAATGTATAAATATCACCCGTGAAAAAAATATATATAAGTCGACTCACTACTTTCTTGACTACTTTAATTTATCACTTGTCTTTTCCTAATCTAGTTATTGACTTGTATTATCTAGTTATTGATTTTTCTAACCTAAATATTTTTTTTTTCTCTCTTTCGAATATCTTATTAATTAGTATAACTTTCTTTCTATGTTTTTTTTGGGTATATTTCTCTCAATTTTTTTTTTGTGCGTTAATCGCAGCATACATCTTAAATCCGGCTTAGCAATACTATTCTCTTTGTGAAATTCAATTTATTGAATTCATTTCTGATATTTACAAAAAAATAAATTAATTAATTAATAAATAAAAACGTTTTGTATGGATATTTATATTATATAGATAAAACTTTACATTGAAAGATTGAAAGGAAGTCTTTTTTTTTCTTGGACATTTTTCGATAGGCATCTTTATTGAAAGTGTCAATTTTTTACTATTAAATTTAATAAAAATCACATTAAAAAAATATGTAGAATAGAGAGTTTTTAAAATAAATTTGAGAACTACATATAATTTATTTTTTAGAAAAACTCTCTTTTTTAACCGGTACATTGAAAGAAATATTATAACTATTTGTTTTTCAAGCCAAAGAAGAAAGATTTCAATCATAAAAATGAAATTCCATCTCAAAATTTTTTATATACAAAATTCCATTTCATTAAAACTAATAAATCTCAAAGAATCTAGGAAGGAAAAAAAATTAAAAAAGAAAACAATTATCAAATTAAAAACGAGTTATCAATTGATTGGAAGGTTGAAAACGGAAAAAAAAAATACACGAAATAAAGGACATTTTCTGGTTGAATAATTACTATGACATTTTTAGAATGTTAAGAAGGGTGTAACAAGTAATGATGAGAATTTAAAATTTAATTAGTAAGTAGTTTAAGAAATGACGTGGAAAAAAAAAAAAAAGGGATAACAACAGATCAACCTTATCTTTTTTTTTCAAGGCTAATTGACACTAATCTCCTTTTAAACTTTTGTCCTTCTGACACTTTACCCATGAAAGTATTTCAAATGATGAAATTTGGACCAAAATTTTTGAATTGGCGATATTTTTGTCCAATAAACAAGGTTTGGAGTTTTTCGGTTTTAAAAAATCATTCATAGATTATAGCCCGGTCTCAATTTTTTCAACAAACTACATGTTAAATCAATATACTTGTCAAACTATAAAGTAATGCGACATATAAGACAAATGTTTAATAGTTCACGGCATATATTTATTAATATTTTGAAGGTTGGGGGTCAAAATAAGACAAATGTTTTAAGTTGGGAAAAATTTTTAAAGATAATTCTAGATGTAATAACGATTTTAACATAAAAGACGTGTTTAGAATTCGTTATAAAATGATTTTATTTTTTGTATGAAAATGAAAATGAAAACGTTTTCAATCTCAGATAAAAATTATTTTTAAAAATATGTTTGGTAGTTTTATCAAGAGATTGTTTTCAGTGTAAAAAAACTCATTAATGTCTCTCTTTCTCTCTCTGCTCGAGAGAGGAGAAAATAAAAATAAAAAATGAAAAACGACTAAAAGTCATTTTTTATTTCTCTCTCATTTTACACTAAATCAAAAAATTATTTTCATCTCTATTTTTTATCTTTATTACGTCAAACGCCGTTTTAAAAAGATTTTTTATTTTTTCTTTCTCAAAAAATATGAAAAATAAAAATAAGATCAATTTTAAACGCGACTAAAATAACGCCGCTAATAGTAACTTTGACAGTGGATCGTTGAATTCGCTGTTCTCTTGAGACGACTATTTCAATTTGTTCATACTCTGGATCGTTTACATTGTTTTATATTGACTTATTTGAAAAAGAAAACACTATTGAAATAAATTGGATTGAGATTTGAGGGATGTGTAATATTTGGACCGGAGATTTTTTTTTTCTTTCTTTTGGAAAATAGAATTCGAAAGTCAACTTTGAATCCACAGTTCAAATAAATCTGCTAACTTCAGGTTTTTCTTCGGAGCAGAAAATAGAATACTTTGCGGTCTTCCTTGAGCAATACGGCAGGTTAAAATAGCGCGCCGGTGGAGCAGGTTAAGAAAACCGTTGGTTAAAAAGAAAATGAGATTATTTTAAGAATCATTCTGGAACACCGATTCTAAAATTACGTCTGATTAATTTTTTAAGAGATTATTTTGAGTATAATAAAAAAATAAAATCGTGTTTATTAATTAATACATTATAATATTGTTGATAAATACTAAAAAATAAAAACATACAAATGAAAATAATTTTTAACTGTTTTCTAATTCTTTAAAAAAAAACTATTCTCATTATTTTCGCTTTCAAAATAT